GCGGAGATCCTGGATTACTGGTGCGGCTGATTACGTTCGCAAAAGGGTTTTTTTCTGGGTCTCTCTCTCTCTTCCTCCTTTGAATCTGCGTTTGGGTTGAGATTGTAATTAGGGTTTCGTGGTTATTGATGGAACCTCGTGTTGGAAACAAGTTTCGGCTCGGCCGGAAGATCGGCAGTGGTTCATTCGGGGAGATCTATCTCGGTTCGTCACTCTCTCTCTCTCTCAATTGTTTGTTCTGTTTTTCCTCTAATTGGTCGTCTGAGTTTGACATTGGTGCATTCGCATCTCTAACATTGTTGTGCTTTTTCAGGTACTAATATCCAAACGAATGAAGAAGTGGCAATCAAGCTTGTGAGTTCTTGTTGTGTATTTTCTGATGGAATTGTGTAGAAAAATTGTTCTCAATGTCTCAAGTTTGTTTTGGATATGGGTTAAGGCTTAATAACATGATTTCAGTTGGTTGAATTTGATCAAGAAACTTGATCCCTTTCTTCTGTCAAACTTGATAATAATGCTAAAAAAGTCTAGTGTTTATGGAGTTGTAACATTGTCACCACATGCTTTGTTTGATCATGTTTAGTATGTTGAACGGTGAGACTGAATCTTTTTGTTTTACCAGGAAAATGTGAAGACAAAACATCCTCAGCTCCTCTATGAATCGAAATTATATAAGATTCTACAGGGAGGAAGTAATGATTCTTATGTTCTGAAATCTCTGTTTCAAGTAATGAGCTCTTTATTCTTTGTGTTTCTTATGATCTCTCTTTTGCCTTTAATTTTTGGTAGCTGGCGTTCCGAATGTCAAATGGTTTGGTGTTGAAGGGGACTACAATGTTTTGGTGATGGATCTACTCGGACCAAGTCTTGAAGATCTGTTCAATTTCTGTAGCAGAAAACTTTCCTTGAAGTCGGTCCTCATGCTTGCAGATCAAATGGTAAGCCTCATGTGACCGCTTTTCTTTCGTTTGCTTGTCTATGTTTCAGTAAAGATTGACGTCTTTCTTCCTTTGGTTTTGTTTTAAGATCAACCGTGTTGAGTATTTCCATTCAAAATCTTTCCTTCATCGAGATCTCAAGCCAGACAATTTCCTCATGGGCCTTGGAAGGCGTGCCAACCAGGTTTCTCATCTTATGCCCTAACGAGATACTATTGTTCACCTTTTAGTTTTGAAGACATCATTGGATTGACTAAGTTTATTCCTTGTTTAAGGTATACATCATCGACTTTGGTCTTGCTAAGAAGTACAAGGATAATACAACAAATCAGCACATTTCTTACAGGTGAGGCGATATCATTGTATCAGCTCTTGAATGTTCTTCCTTTGAGTATGATTCCGTCGTTATGTGGTGACTGGAAACGCTAATTTTCCCATGATTCCCATTCGCAGAGAAAATAAAAATCTGACAGGAACTGCGAGATATGCTAGTATGAACACTCACTTGGGAATTGGTAAGCTCGACAAAACCTGCTTCACCTTTTTGTTCCAGTCACTCTCCTTAGGTGTTTGAGTATCATGGTTTGACACTCATCTGCTGTTATTTGTTTTGGCATTGTGAACCTCAAGAACAAAGCCGAAGGGATGATCTTGAGTCTCTTGGTTACATCCTTATGTACTTCCTCAAAGGAAGGTGAGTTCATGCTACATGCCTCGCTTCAGTTTTTTCACCTTTCTCCTTCATTGTCATGACGTGTGGAATATCTGGGTTCTAGTCTTCCGTGGCAAGGACTGAAAGCTGGAACCAAAAAACAAAAGTATGAGAGGATTAGCGAAAAGAAAGTTTCTACCTCCATTGAGGTAACTTCTTTTCACAAGTATGCTGCTTTTTGACTCAAAGTTCTGTTTCACACAATTGATTCATATATGACTCCTTGTAGGCCTTATGTCGTGGTTACCCATCCGAATTTGCATCCTATTTCCACTACTGTCGATCGCTTCGTTTTGATGATAAACCAGATTACGCTTATCTCAAAAGGATATTCCGAGATCTCTTCATCCGTGAAGGTTTGAGATCCTTCCCTCTGAACAAGCCAGTCCACAGTTTCTTAACCCAGTTCATCTTCTAACAGTATTTCATTTCTCTGCTGCAGGGTTTCAATTTGATTACGTGTTTGACTGGACCATCTTAAAGTATCAACAATCACAACTTACCGCTCCCCCATCTCGTGCCCTTGTAAGTGTGATTTGAGTTCTCGGTTAATCTATCTCTTTGGCTGGACATTTTCTGATGGAGTCTCTTCTGCTGCAGAATCCTGCGGTTGGAACTAGCGCGGCATTGCCTCCGGGCATTTCAAGCATCGATAGATACGCAGGTAATTTCCGTGATGAGGACTTATCACTCAAAATGTAATCCCGATTCATCTGCACAGAACATAGGATTTATAATTTTTTTTCCTTGTTGCATCCAAGGCGAGGAAGAAGGGCGGCCCGTCGGTTTTTCGCATGTGGAATCATCTAGACGGAGAGCTTCAGGCGCTGTAGAGAGCTCGGGGAATCTTTCGAACCAACAGACATCCTCAATTGCTAGAGACTCCATGGTATGAATTGCTCTCCTCTTGTTCTCTATCACTCTCTCCCATTTGGAGTGAAAATAATACTAAATTCTGAATTGCGTTTTGGTGGGAAGCAGATGCCAAGCTCCTCGTTGTTTGCACAATCAGCAGGATCATCGAGGAGAGTAACGGCAGTAAGTAGCAGCCGTGACAATTTTCTAAGCGGCGAGGAGTTGCAGAGAAGCCGTACAGGTGACGTGAGCCGCAGTGGAGGCGTGATCTCGAGGAACTCCCCGGTAGAGGCTTCAAAGAGGTCTTCTTCCACGACAAGAAAAAACTACGAATCAGCCATTAAAGGGATCGATAGTCTTCAAGTCTCCGACGACAAGTTTCACCACCACCACTGATACATTAAATTGTGTACTCACATTTTTTTTTTCTTTTCTTGTTTTATTACACTACGAAAATTTGAATTGATCTACTACATGAAAAATTGGTCTCGACTAGAATACCACTTGGGTAATTAAAATTAAATATATCTATGAATGTTGGGGCTCAACGCAATGATAAAAAAAGAAGAAAAGAAAATTAAAGATGCACAAATGCAATGATTTCAAAATTAAAAGATTAATTTCATCTTTTTCCCTCACCTCACTCTTGTTCGTCCATGATTCTCTCTCCTTAATCTCGCTTATTTCCTGTTAAGTCCCTGCCGTAACACTGTTGCTCAGAACTTTGATGAGAATGATACTGAGCACTGGCTTCTCCCATAAAAGCTGCTTATTCATACTACACTGTGGCCACACAGACCACTTTTCTTCAGCTGATGAATGATGCTTATGCAAATGCCATCCACAACGAGAGTTTCCTAAAAGAATTGAATTTTGGTCCTCTCTACAATGATCTTTAAGGAAGCGCCTTAAAGCCATCAGAACTTGGGCTGGTGCTCTTACGAACTCGCTAACTAACTTCATCTTCATGCTCATAACCTGGTAAGAATCAGCCTCGGTGGCTGCTCTTTTTTGCTCACTTCTTTGTTCTAAAGCAACATGTTACATGCAGTAGTAGAATGTAAGATGTTGGTAAAGTCTACTCGAGCTCTTAACTAACATTTCTCTTGGAAAATAGTTAACATTCATTTGTTTCCATGTACATTATTGACAGATAGAGTGCTCCTAGCTCTCATATCAACTTGCAACGAAGCGTGGTAAACAACAACGCTCTTTGTTTGGTTGATCCTTTTCCAGTGCATCCCACCATTTCTCGTCACAGTAAACTGTTGGCAAGTTCATCTGAACCGTTTCCTGAAATGGCAGTTTCTTCACTTTGGGGCAATTGGTGATGACTAAAGTTTCTAGTTTTTGGAAATAAAACTGAGATGGAAGGATGCTGCTTAGTTCTGGGAGATCCCTAATTACCAAAGTCTTCAGGCTTGGGAACAATGCTGAATCTTCAACGGATGGACTCTCGTGTTCATTTATCAGTTCCTCTAGCTCTCTGCAGTCAAACAGGTCAATCACCTCTAGCTTTGGGAGTTGGGGAACCCATGAGACGTTCTTCAACTTGTGGCAGTGTGAAATGTTAATGAAACGGATATTCCACAAACACTCTTGGCTTACAGAATTCCCCCACACTCGGCTTAATTTATGGAGGCTATGTAACGTCAGAACCTCTAGACTTGGAAGCCAGTCATTTTCATCATCTGTGGGTGTGACCAGGTATTCCAAGTCATGGCAATTTTTAATGCTAAGTCTTCTCAAGTTCCTACCATGGTTAGTGAGTGACAGGAGATCGAAGTAGAGGAGACCAACACACTCTTCAATGTGCAGATGTTGTATACGTTTATGCAAGGCGCCAAACTTGTAGAGTGTTTTCAGGGTCTCCAGTGAGAGAACAGTGATACCGAGTGTGGTGAGGTTTTCCAAGTGTTCCAAGTCGGCAAACCCGAGTTCTTCTACGTCATCTTCTTCAAAACTCTGCAGTTCCCAACCAGCATAACTGTAGTACAGGTTCAGAACCTCGAGTTTGCTCAACCAACATATGGCATCTCGTGGGATTGTCTGGAGAAACTGGGTTCTTTGTAAGTCCAGATGCTTCAGTTTTCTAAGATTCCCAAGCTCAAGGGGCAATACACTTATCTTTGTTCCTGACATAGCCAAATGATATAACTCAACCAAATACTTAATAGACAATGGAATTTCAGTGATACTTGTGAAGGACAGGTCAAGGACCCTGAGAACAGGCATAAGTGTGAAAAACCCTGTTGGAATCTTCTTCAAAGACTTGTTCTGTTGGAGCATCAATGTTGTCAGACTCGGGCATACGGGTTTTTCAGGCAAGGTCTGGATTCTGTTATCCAACAATGAAATGACCAACGCCTGTCGCCATTTTTCTGCTTTGGGGGCCTCAGTAAGTGCCATGCTAGGCTCTACTAGAATCACCTCTTTATAAGTCCCCTGTTCAGATGCCATCCACAGTGCAAAGCTTCTAACGACGTTATGCATCTTCACCTGAGTTTTCTCATCCCCTGTTTCCAACAGACACGCAGCTTTCAAGTCCCCAATCAGGAAATATCCCTTGTAAATGGTGTTAACGCCATGGGAGCTGTTGATGAACCCTTCTCCGACCCAGTACTCCACAAGCTGTTCGATCTCAATAGAATGTTCTTCCGGGAATAAAGCGCAGTACAAGAAACAAGTTCGAAGCAGATCGCTCTCGAGATTGTCGTAGCTCAATTTTAAAAGGGTAAACACATAGTCCATACCCTTCATCTCTGCTGGAAACCTGTTCAGAACTTCACTCGCGTGAATCCACTCTTCTTCGGTCTCTCTATGAGCCATGGCTCCTCCTAAAGTGATCAACGCAAGTGGCAATCCTCCACATTTGCTCACTATAGTCTCAGCGAGCCGACGAATCAGTGGCGAATCCAAGAGATCTTTTCTTCCAGCTTTATCACAGAAGAGCTTCCACGCGTATTCCTTCCCGAGAAACTCCACTCTCAACTTGCATTCCGCACCCATATTGCTGCACAATGCCATAGATCGTGTCGTGAACATCACCTTACCTTTGTTATCCCTGTCAGGTCGAGGAACTCCGGTTTTCTCCAAGTCTATCTCTTCCCAGACATCATCTAGCAACAACAAGAACCGTTTCTGTTTCAAAGCTCTGTATATCTTCAAAGCTCTATTTTCCCCGGTCTCCTTCTCGTCCCAAGATAAACCCAACCGCTCTCCAATAGCTTGCTGAATTGTACACTCGCCGAATTCTCTGGACATTGCAACCCATATCAGTACATCATACTGATGACCTCTTGTGATCAGCTCGTTGTTAATGCTCCGCATTAGCGTTGTCTTCCCAACCCCGCCAGGTCCATAAACACCAATGATTCCTCTTTCTTCTTCTTCGCTGAGAAATTCCCAAACCCGTTCCATCATCTTGGTAATCCCGACCACGGACTTGATCGGTATCTTCCTACTAGTCTCTTGAATGGACCCGCCATCTGTTTTCATATCTTCAGAGCGTTCTCTAAGGTCACTGATGCTTTTCAATGTCGCCAAAACCTTCTTGCACTGTTTGTGGTCGGCATAACCAAAGCAACCAAGGCATCTCCTCCGCATTCTCGTCCTCTGTTCACGGTGCTTAAACCTCGCTAGAATCGAGTCTGTTTTGATCTCTGCTGATTGCACTGCAGTGAGCCACTCTCTAGCACGGTTTGTGCAGCTTCGTCCCTCTAGATTGTCTTGTTGGATCCGTAAGTTCAGATCATCCCGTATGGCCTTCAATTCGGCGGTGGCTGCTTCGAGATCACTGATGGCTTGCTTAAGGTCAGTCTTTTGTCCTCTTCTCTCTGCCATATTCATAGATTCACACAACATCTGAGCTAAGCCCACGAGTAGAGATGAGATGAGATCCATTTTCAGATGATTTCTCGCTCTTTCTTTACTTGGATTGTCTGTGCAAAATAACTTATTAGTTTACAGATTCATAGAGACAAAAGTGAGAGAGTTGACTTTTAAAGTCAAGTAAACGCATTATAAGATTTTTGTGGCTTGGTCGCTCAAGAAACCAGTAGATTTGGACAACTCATCTACTAAATGAACCTTCTCTTCAAAATTTGTCTGCATGTCTGTGATTTCTACTGGCTGAGTCGAGACCCGATAACAAACTGGCCCATTAAGACTCTTTTGATTCCAATAATGTCTAAGACGTTGAATAATACCCTTTTCTATAACTTGAATTGTCAGATCAAAACTCTATTGCTTATTTATTGAAAAAAGGTTTCGCCAAAACCTTCTTGCACTGTTTGTGGTCAACAATATCAATTAGTTTAAATCTTACATTAAATTTTTTTTTTTTGAAAAAATATTATGGTATTTTGATTTTTTTTTTTTTTAAAAACAGATATCCGCAAAAATCCGGATATCCACAAATATCCAGAAAAAATCCGGATATCCATCATCCTGGATATCCAAAATTTTTCGAAACAAAACAAATTAGAAAATTAGATATCTGTCAAAAATAAATTGAATCACAGATACTGTGCATCAAAGCCTAATGAAAAGTCCACTTTCACATGTTCCATTTACAATAACATATTCTTTATACACATTGTCCAAAGAATACAGCACAAGTGGCATCAAACGTATGGAAACTGGTAAATAATAATACTAGTATTTTTTATCATCGGTCTGCTGACAACCAAAATATATTATTATTATTATCTTTTTTTTTGAAAAAAAAATAAAAAAATTACGGAATGTAGTATTATTTATTTATTTAGATATACAGAATGTAGGAAAATAGAAAAATGAATAAATAAAAGAGAGTTTAAAGACAAGATATTTACGGAATTAAAAGGTGTTGTCTTTGTCAGTGCAATGAACCTTTTTTTCTCTCATCTCTCCCGCCACCCCCAACTAACACATCTCCGACCGTACACGTCACCCCTCTCTCGCTCACCAAAACCTGACTTTCTCTTTGTATACGTGTCGCTCATCTATCGGTTTATCGGCTTGACGTGGGACCAATTCATTCGTGTTTGCTTTCTCTTTCTTTATACACTTTTTTAATCAAAATGGACAGATTCTCTCATGTTCTTGGTTCGTTCGTTGCTTCCTTATGCCCATGAGTCCATCTATACAATAATTATGTTTTTTATATATACTGTAATAGTATTTTTTTTTTTGTAAACTGTGTTTTTGTTAATATTGCTCGATAGCAACAAAAATATGTTCTCTTTCTTTCTGGTTAGTAAAAAGACTAATTATGGTCGAATTAATGGACGTCTAATATTACCTCAAACTCTTTTTCTGCAAGAAAATCTTTTGAGATAAAGAGTTCTAATATTTTTCTTTTCAAAACCCTAGTTAAAAAACAAAATAAAATAAAATAAATACAGAAAACGGTTAAACTACTAAAAATAATCTAAATCGAACTGAAATTCTAAGATGTTTTTCTCCTCTTATTCAACATAGCCTTGAGAAATATATTAGATCAACTCAAACAGCCTCGAGTATAACATAAAAACGTCGATTTCAGAAATCACTCGTATACAAACAACGGTTTTGTTTTGTTTTTTTTTGTCAACAATCACCATTATATTAAATCAAGTTGTTACCGATTGGATGGTTTTTCTGACGGGCTACCCCAAACGAGAATGTATGA